TTCTTGACAATAGATGAACAGTTACTGGCTTTTAGGGGCCGATGTCCGTTTAGACAGTATATGCCTAGAAAACCAGCTAGGTATGGAGTAAAGATGTTCGCATTAGTGGATGCTAAAACTTCATATACATTTAATCTTGAGCCATATCTGGGAGCTCAGCCTGAAGGACCATATAAGTTGAGTAACTCTCCAAATGATCTTGTTCTGCGATTAGTGCAACCCGTAGAAGGAACAAACCGTAACATAACAGGCGATAATTGGTTTACCAGCGTACCACTGGCAATTAAGTTATTGGAGAAAAAACTAACGTACGTGGGCACTATGCGAAAGAATAAGCGGGAGATACCAACAGAATTCTTGCCAACAAAGAACAGGGAAGAAAAAACCTCGATATTTGGTTTTCGGGAAGACCTCACAATGGCTTCATATTGCCCAAAGAAAAATAAGGCAGTAATAGTCATTTCTTCAATGCACCATGATAGTTCTATCGATCCAGAAAGTGGTGAAAATAGATTGCCGGAAATAATAACATGCTACAATCAAACGAAGGTAGGAGTAGATTTAGTAGATCAGATGAGTGACAATTATAATGTAGCTAGAACAACGAATCGATGGCCAATGGTTGTATTTTATGACCTATTGAATATATCTGGAATAAACGCTTGCTGTGTTTATAAAGCAAATCACCCTAACGAGAAAGTCCTAAGATCTGACTTTATTGAAAAATTTGCTTGGGAACTAATAAAACCTCAAATAGAACACAGGTCAACTATTTCTGTTATACCAAGAGAAATCCGCCGTCGAGCACGCCACCTGCTGGGACTGGAAGAGGTATTACCTCCTCCACCACCACCTGATATGCCAGGAAGTTGCATACGTCGCTGCTACATTTGCACGAGAAGTCGTAACAAATCAACAAGAAAAATTTGCCACAAATGTAGCAGACATGCATGCAAGGAACATATGGTGGAAGTGTGTACGTCTTGTTTGTCAATGTAAAAAGTAGCAAATATTTGTCATGCTATTTTTCGTTTTGTATATTCTATAATTTGTTATTATTTCATTTATTCAAGTTGACAAACACTTTTATTCAGGATAAAATACTTAAGTTACTGTTTTAGTTAAATTAATGTTTATTTTAATAACAATTATTGAAAACTTGCAAATAAAGGCTTAAAAAAGCACGTGTACAATAATTTATGATTTCCATAAGCTGAAATTTGCATAACCGCCGCCGAAAACAAAATGTATTATATAATGAAGGTCTCTTGTTTATGATAAAATACATATTTCAATTTTTTTTATTTTTTTTACATTTCAAAAATTAAATAAAATGGATTACCATTGTAATCCACGCGCCTAAATACGTTAGTAAATCCACGCGCCTAATGGAGGGTTAAATAAGATTCTGTTTGCATATGCGTGCGAGGCGTCAGCCAATAAAAAACGCGTCGCGAAACTGTCAACTAACCTTATTGAAGCCTTCGACAGCATACTCCATAAGACATTAATGTATACGATATCCCAGTCTCTGTCATCCACCTTGTGAAAACTACTCCAGTGGTCGAAAAACTTTTGAATGTCTTATCCAGTTCACGGGAGTTAGTGAATGGATGTGCCACAAGGATCAATTTTGGGTCCGGAACTTATATATGAAGAACCTCCCAAAAAACTACACACTACGTGTGCGAATTTATAGACTATTGCAATAAGTGGGGACTAGGGACGAATCATCGAACTGTTACTAAAATCGAGAATGAGACGGTGTCAATATGGGGAGAAATAAGAAACTTAATAAAGAAGCAGCTTGAAAAGAGGGTATCAGCAATATTACATCAACGCTTGCCTATTTAAAGCTAAAGTATTCTATTGGACTCCAAATGGCGACACTGATGTGAAGGTGCGAGTAATTGACGCGTGCATCGTTCCCATTTTCGGTTATGGAACTGTTCAACTTCTACCAAGGATAAGACTAACCGGGTTGAGTTTATTCAAGGTTTGCTTGAAGAAAGCTTTGCAAGGGTGCGGGGAGCTTTCCGCGTTGCCTTCCATCTAAGGAACTTTTGGAAATGCTCGGCTCAGGGTAGCAAATTTGCAACAGAAAATGCTAGTGAAGCTACAGGATCAACCAATTACAGACTTATCTGTCCACTTAGCTACCCCTATCAAAGGGAGAACACAATGTCTTGCAACTCTTCACAAGGACTGAAGGTATGATTCGCAAAAAAGGACTTACAAAGCCAGGCGGGCGGGGCAGGTGTCATGGTAGCTGCTTCACGACCATTCTGGAGGCATGTCACAGCATGTTAACACATGTCCATGCGTGCATAGTAGCCGCCAGCAGCACGTCTGTTGATTTAGTTGTTCATTCGTATTGACTACGGACTACAGCAGCGTGGTCACGTAACTCTACACGTGGTTTAAGCATAGACCAGTGCTTAGAAGAAATGACGCTTGTATTAGAAAATGCTTGTGTCCTCATCGAAGACTATATTCGGGGGTACAGAGAATTCCAAAGGGATAGAGGATACCTTGCATCTTCATACACCAGCAATTAGTTCAATTCTACATGACCATTTATACGTAATGAAACTTTGTTCTCTCTGGGTGCCGCATAGTCTAACGGAAGAGCAGAGACGCGTCTGTACTAAGAACTTCAACTTCTTACTGATTTTTTCCATACATATGCGCCGAAACATCCGAAAATTCAGTTTATGTGTAACATAATGAGAATGTTTGATAAGGGGCAATCTCGGTATGTGAACACCATCATGACAGGTGACAAGACTCTATTATTACGATGTGCCGACCAAGGCTAAAAAAAAGTTTGGGTCTTTGATGATGAGGACTCACCCGTAGCTGTCAGAAAATCCCGATCTGTTAAGAAAAAAATGATAGCTGTATTTTTCAAATCGAGCGGGATTGTGGAGATTGTCGTTTTGGACATACAGAGACATAGAGTCTATGAAAAACCTGCAGCCAAAGTCAAGAATGGACACTTGGACCTCCACCACGACAACGCTCCAGCTCACCGCTTCAAAGCCTGCACCGAGTATTTGACCACTACTGGACTGAAACTTATAATCCCCTTTGTAACGTATTTTTCACGATTCGTTTTGACGCTTATTCACGTGAGTAATTAACATGTATATCTGTTGATAACCTTAAACATGACCACCAACCGAACTAGCGCCATCTAGTTCTAGTTTTCCAGATTACACCCCTTTTCAGTATGACGCATAGTGAAAAGTCTCTATTTTGTTGATGCACCTGTCCAAACTCAACTCAATCTGGCGGTTACAAATTGTCCAGAAAGAAATTTCACAAAACTAAATGTTGAATCTATAAACGTGGATAATTCATTCACCCGGTGCGTACCCGAGAGGAATATTATGCACGGATCACGGGTAAATCTCGACTGTACTAAGGAACTTCAACTTCTTACTGATTTTTTCCCATACATATGCGCCGAAAACATCCGAAAAAAAGTTCAGTATTATGTTGTAACATATCAGTGGCATATATAGAACTTGAGTTCAGGAGAGGCATTGGTCTCGGGGAGGGAGCAGCAATTCTAAGAAACAAGATTATTTTCATTTCACTTTTGCTTAGAAAAAGTTGTGTCCAGTTGCTAGAACATTGTGCTACCAAATACAGAATAACTTGTCCATATCATCAGCTTATCGAAATGATATTAAAGTATTAAATTCCTAACAAATAGTCGGTCCAACCAAACCAGGTCAAATAATAATCCCTTAATGGAATGTTCATTTTAATAACTGTTTCAAATGGACGTCTTAATTTCTCAAAAGATTTGCGTACTTCAAGCCTTTCAGTTGAGTTGAGGTAGGCATTTAGTTCCTAGCTCCTGCTTTTGTGGTACAGTGGTCCCTTAGCTATTTTGCTGTAGTCACGATGAACTAGAGAAATTGGTCCAGTATATCGAAGTTTCTGAAACCTGACAACTGCCCGTGTTGTATGTTTTCGATATGTAGCTTTTGAGTAGCACGAGAACGTAGAAAATTCAGCGATTGGGAAAGCTATGGCAAGATTCTCGCTGACTTCAACAGCGACTATGCAGAACCATAGGCAATAATTGTTGCTGTAAGCCAATCATTGATCATTCCCAAATTAGGTTTTAAATATCATTTTAAAAGGTCACCTCCTATATAATTTGTTTGTGTATGTACTTGAAGATTTATATTCCAACATCAAACTGCTTCACAACATTTTGTTCACAGTTGTACTTTTTCTGATATTTGGGCCAAGTGTTACAACAAGAATAAACTTCGCCATTTCATAATGTATTTATGACAAATAAAGATTTTTATTATATTTATTAAGGGATTAATATTTGACCTACAGTGGCTTCACCTACTATTTGTAAATAATTAAGCGCGCTAATACTGATTGTTTAAAAGCTGACGATACGGAAAAGTTTTTCTAGTAATTTGTACGTTTAATGTACTTGCAATTTTTGAGCTAGACACAACTTTTTTCCAAGGAAACGGAAAACGAAGACTAAAACTGCCTTCTAGCACGGCTGTTATTTCATTTTGTATAGTATTTTCGCACTTCAAACACTTAATCTGAGTATAAGCTAATAAAATCAATCACACCCATCTCACATGATTTTTTTTTTAGACTGGAATGTCCGATTTCGGGTGATTGTTGAAAAATTACAAAAATTGTAGACTCATTATTACGACTTGGCAGGAATACGGCAGATTACCAGTAACCCGGATAAACAATTAGCCGCCGGAATTCAAGTTAGTCCTAATTTTACATACCTTTCTGACCTGGTACCTGGGAATCTGCCGTTTACCTTAGCAGGTACACAGGAGACGTTCAAAGTACAACAAACGTAACTCAATGCCCCACTTTTGTCTTTTAGAAAATAAGTCAAGTCTAGCAGACCTAAGATCTTGAAATATATCGATTATCTATGTCTATAATGTTCATAAATAAAAAAACTGCAGTGCTGATCAAAATACCATACTGTCAATTATTTGACGTCAATAGCAAATTATCACATTAAAATGATCTAATGATATTCCTATTCATTGGATACACCCATTATTACAAAAGTTGCATGCACATTGCTAAATATCTAAAAATAACAATTAAACTCAGACTTTGAGGTTGATAAAAAGAATAATATTCTTAATCTCAAGAAAAAGATATATCTTACTTTATATAAAATTTGAGTGTAGAATGGCCCGTGATCCCGCAAATTATTATTGTACTCCACGCCCGTTAACATTTCTCGTAAGCAACAAACAATAAAAGTGCAAAGTTCAAACATTATCCAATGCAGTGAAGCTATTGATATGACATCCAGTGTGTTGTAAATAACTAGCACAGATGTTACAACACTCATTTACCTTCATGTATAAATTATGAATTTAAGTGAAATATTGCTAGCTTCTTAAAGAATGGAATGAATGTTCTTTAACAACGGTTATGTCGAGGTCTAAATGTTAGGTTTAAATCAGGGTTTAAATGTATTTATTCTTCAAAATGTTAATGATGATTACATCCCAGAGACAAAAAACACTGAAAACGTTCTGTGGTTACCACTATAATAAACAAAGCGGAAAATACTATATTTTTTTCGATTTCGTAAGTCTAAAAAGTGAAATGAAGTACAACATATAGAGTACATACAAATTGAAAACATTCAAAAAATTATATAAACCTTACATGAGCGGAAAACAAAGTAAAAAAGTTATTGAAACGGGATATAAAGACATACGTCAAAAATCTTTATTAAGCCCTAAAATCATTTATTGATCAAAAACATAACAAGTATCTCCAAAATTGTTTTATAATGTCCCAAAATAACACAAAATAACTTTCTTTTCTTTTTGGTATAAATGCCCTAAAAATCAAGATGAGCCAGATCTATGCGGTAGAACCATTGCAAGTTAGTCTTTTTGCTAGGGCACACAATGGACTGATACAATTTCTCATAAATATGACGCACAGAGGCATTTCAAATATAAAAAAATTCGTTAATAGCTCGCACAGCGTGTTTTATTTCATTTCAACCGCAAAATCGTGACAGATGAGTAGTAAAATCCGTGGAAATACCCATAGTAGGCTAGATATAATTTCAAAACACATTGTAAATAAACTTCAAGTTCATTTATTGATGCGTAGACCAAAGGTTAAGTTACAGTATACATTTAACATTCGAAACTGTGTATTTAAAATGCAAATATCAAATGAGGTCTGCTATTCAAATGATTCGCATCCAACTTATGCTACAAGCGTTGAACTGTCGGATGTATATGTTTTAAAATAGACTGCTCAACAGCTTTTTATAGTAGCATTGTAGAGTACACATAGGTGTGCAATGTTAATATAGGTGTAAATAATATGATAAAAAGTATCTTCAGTCGAGTAAACGATAGTTCAGGCCCAGGACTATATTAAACTCAAAGATATTGTGTATATGCTATATCAGTATATTTGCTGAATCTTATCTTGCCCACTGGATTGAATTAATGAATTATGAAATTAGAGGCATACCTGTCACCATGACGAGGCGGCGCATAGGCCACTTAAACGGGCCCTATGCACCCCTAAGCCCCGCCCTTCTAGCAAACTTAAGTATAATCTTGAGTACCAGCTCCTTAACGTTCTGGGGATTCAAAGTCCCCTGCATAGTCTGCCTGTAGTAGCGCAGCACTCACACAAGGGATCCTCAGCCACCCCAATCATATGCAGGTGGCACCTCAACATGTCATGGCCAGACAACATTCCCACCAGCAACCTTAGGTTGGCTCTAGCTAAGAATAAGCAACAGCGTCCATCCTTAGCACTGAACCTTACGATAAGCTCCCTTGCCTAACAGAGATGCTTCTCCATTTCTGAGAGTGTTGTCTTGCAACCCAGTTCTCCATTGCTCTTCTAACTCTTTGCGCGGGCTCAGGGCCAACGAGCTTGCTCGCTGATCCTGCTTTCGCAAGAGCGTCCGCCATATCATTGCCTTTTATCCCAGCGTGCCTCGGTACAGACACTTACGATACCTCATGCCTCGCTGCTAGAGTATCCTGAGCCTCCCCCGTCCCACTGGATTTTTCACGTTATTTTTTATTTGAAAATACAAATATCTACAACTGAAACTTTGTACAATTCTATTGAAATGACTTTTTTGTCTATTGATTCCCTAGATTTCAAAATCTTTAATCAAACTGTAAAAATAAGAGAGAGATATGCGTGAAGACGTTTTTTCAACTCTTTAATTAGATTATTCCAAATGTTGATAGTTTCCCTAAAAATACTATAAAAATAATCGTAAACTTTCGAAGAAATATGGATAGATGATTTTCATTTTTGCTTTCCACTTTCCACCATACCATAGATTACAACATGTTTCTTGAATTTTATAATAATAATTGTACCCACACATTTCTATTAGCTTCATATCTATGCCTGGTATCCTACTATTCTGTGCTCACATACAGTCTTTATGGATCTTGATAACACTTCACACGCGGCAAGAGTATAACCAAGAAACAATAAATCAGGGAAGTACCATTTGAATTAGTATGAAATTTCCAATTCTATCATCAAGAAGCAACAAAGCAGAAAAACTGGCGTCACGTAGGTTGACTCTGCACTTCCTACGCAACCCCTAATTTTTTACAAAAAAATGTCAAAAATAGTAACGATTCTCTGAAACGTTTAAAAAAGTAGTTTGAGCGATTATTATTTTCTCATTTTTTGCCTTTTCTCTGTAGCTACTGGACGACTTTTCGTCCTTGGCATACTAGTAACCTTGTGTGAAAATTTCATCCAAATCTGACCGATACTTTCCAAGTTATAGACGGGCCAAGGATTAGCGGACACAGACAGACTGTCAGATCGACGGAAATGACTGACGTGTTTTTTTGTGGTGTATTTGTCATATAACATCAAAAAATACAATATTGTCATTTCGAAAAATTTCTCTACTACAATACTTCCTCGCCCAGGGACATAGGAAGTAAAAGGGAACCGTTTGCAAGTTCTATATGCATTAGAGTGACTTTGTACATTCAATTCCTCCAGGAAATGAAAATTTCTTTTATTGTGATTTTATTTGGATTATTGTTTACCAATTGCTTTTACTTAGATTCAAAATAAAAAAATTGGTAAAATAGTTCAAAGTAGGATTTTATTTTTAATTTAAACCTCAGTTACCCGGCCATCACTAGCAACTTTAAATATGAGGTATCTTCAAGATTCTGAGTACCCTCCAAAAACTTGGCCACCAACCTAGTAATTACAATGATGGTTATAAAAAAATTACCATCATCTAAAATCACAAAGAGGAAAACCAGGCAGATGCTGCCTATTTAGTAAAAAGGACAAAGATATATGCTATGGAGCGAATCAGTAACATATGATTTAGTATGAACAAAGAACAATAGAACAAAGCATAATCAAACTCAAATTTAAATGTATAAATAGGTGTTATCGTTGGAAAAAAATCGCAAAGACAAAGATTAGATCTCCAGAGTCCACATAAGCTGGCAATGTTGTGGCAGTAACTTGACATTTGTAAGGCTAAGACTGAAAAAATGATACTGTGACACCACTGAGACAACAACTACTATTGAATTAATGCGAATCAAATAACAAGACAATATTAATATAGATATACGGTGGCAAGTTTTCATCTATTTGTCAACATGAATAAATAAAACTCACCTTTGAACTGTGACTCCCACTCCCTGACTGAATCCATTTCAACTGTGCTTAGATCACTCAAATCATCATAGCCCTCCCCAGCGGCTGACACTGAAAATGTTGCTAGCCCCCTTGAAGCATCTTTTCCACCAAACGCTGCATAAGGGCCTCCTGAAGGACAAAATGTTAATCTTAGACATAATTAAAACAAATAAATGTTTCATAAATGCTTTATGATAAATGTGATATTATTTGCATAGGGTTAGAATGAAAAAGTACTACGTATTGTTATAATTTTTTTTGCTAATAATACAGATAACAACACCCATATGTACCATGTAGTAGACTGTAAACCTTAAACCTAAAATTTCTGCATGACAGCGACGTCCAACCTTGCTCCTGCTGGGCGGCGCTAGTATGATTGGAGGTCAAACTAATAATAAATTATTATTATAATAATAATAACATTCAGGATACCAATGAGGTCAGAGTTTCTCCGCGTCAGTACTTTCATCGGCTCAGGCAGATCTGGTCATCAGAGCTGCCTGGAAAGAGCAAAGTCGCTGCGATAAATATGCTTGCGGATCTTTTGTTATTATACATCTTCAGGACGAGCTGCGATAACTCGACACTAAAACCCGGATGAACATGCAACCTAAGTCGACGCAAATACCTTCCAAGACATCAACTAAGGTTTCATAGTGAAAATCTAAACTCTGAGACTGAGGTTTTCATTATGGCTTTCCACGATGGTGTCCTTGTTATAGTTGTAGTCACCGTTCTTGGCGGTTACGTCATCAACGCCATATGAAATAAGTACACAGATCGAGTCTCCATTCCATGAGCGGATCTTAATCTTCATCTGATACTCTATCCAGTACGCATGAAGTGGGTAACAAGGTTTTCATTCTCTTCCTGGAAATACTCTAATAAATTTAACTCGAGCTAACGGCCTTCTCCATTGATCATATCGGGCATCGTACATTTTTATGTTGAAGATTGATAACAGGACAACTCAAATTGCACGCAGATGTCAAGTAAGTTGTCACTCTGACAAATATGAATGAAGGGCCCTCATACGTAACAACAAAGTTTTAGAGACGGAGACACAACTAAAAAACGTATGACTTTTAGCTTACCGAACAAACGTTCACACAGGGGTAGGTTGCATGTGTATGTATGAGAGAGATGGGTATATATAAAGGATACTGGTAGTCTTACTTTCACCCACCAAGAACGGTGACTACAACTATACCTTGATTTACCATAGTAAGGTTATGTATGGGTGCGGATGTATACGATGCCAAGTGCAGAGCATGTTGACAGGCGGCAGAGGCATTTAGGCATCTCTTGTCAGTATGTAAAGAACAGTCTGCCTCTGAAAACATCTATCAGTACAACACAGCTTTGTGAGTGCTGTATTATCATTTGAGGTACTCCTATGATATAGATCAGGGCTGTCCAACTAAATGTGGCCCAAGGGCCACTTCAAAAAAAATGTAGTTTGGAGGGCCGCATTATAAAATCTTTCTATACAACATTATTACAGAGTTAATGTAAGAATTGTTCACATTCGGTATTTGAGAGTAATTTATACATGACCCGTGAAGCGGGCCGCAAGAAGAGTTCGCGGGCCGTATGTTGGACAGCCCTGATATAGATGTGCTGCCGATGCTCCACGGGATATTGCGTCCGTTGTGGAGAACGAGAGATGCCGGATTTACTGGGATTACTCGTTCCCTACGGTCAAAATGGAGCAGGCAAATAGCCAGACATAGGCCTCCTCGACCACGAACAGAAGGCGATGTGCATTGTTCAATTTTCGGCTCCAGTCGAAGTGAACATCGTCTCGAGGAAGAAGGAAAAACGGACCCAGTATCTGGAGCTCATCAATCAGCTTCACAGGCTTTCAGCCTGTAAGTTATGATCATTGGGTTCCTGGGTTGAGGAATACATTACTCTCTGCAATCAAATCTATACCAGTATGCAAAACATCAGTGAGCATCTTAGCCTGAAGAATGCAGAAAGCTGTCCTCCACGGTTCCCACCGCCTACTTACGGCACCCGATTTGCAAATCAATTATGTAGTTGCTTACCTCACAGAGTGAAGAGTAGCCACTCCTGGTAATGGAACAAGAACTTAGTGTGTTGGAGCCAATGTTGTCTATTTTTCTTTTCCTTTCTTATACAAATAAAAGGATTTATTGACCAACAGATAAGAACCCCTTTTAAGAGCAGTATAAATAAACAATTGAAGACACGAGTGGATAAAGGTGTCATGTAAACTTTAAACATATTTTATTCAGACTTTTTACTTTATTGGAAATTTAAATATTTAGTTTAATCTTATTTTTGCAACAAGGTAATCACAGAATGACAGAATCACTTCTTAAGGTTAGTAAAGGTATTTTAGGACTATTTAATATCATTAGAGATGAAAAGAAGGTGGTAGACAAAGACCAGTCGACTCAGGCAGTATCACCAGCAAGCTTTTTTCAGGTTGTCTTAAAAATACCAGATGATCTCAGTCCACTCTCAGTGTAAAAGTAAAGGACGGACTCGAGGGCATAACATCGATGATAAGATCTCTTTCACGAACATCTGTGGGACTAACAGCAACGCTGATGCTGTTCACCACTATCTCCTGTTTAATTTACCTGCCAGTGAAAGTGCCTAAACCAGCGACTAATGGCTGGTTCAGCAATTCGTGTGAATACTACTCATCGACAGAAGGTCAAAGCACACAGAAACATACAAAAGCCCACTATAGAGAGTAGACAAGCCGATGTTGAATCTAGGAACCAATTCAGGGTTCATAATAAAAGTAATGCACATGGTTTTTTTTATGGTGTGACACTAGATGGCATTGCGGTAAAACCGGTTTTGAATTGCGCGTGGGGCGGGGAGATCTGCACTTTCAATGCAACCAGTGATCAGCAGGAGGTAAAACATCTTATGGGTGAACTGGAAATGCCATCATCCTCTCCAGGCAAAATCAAGGAAACTGCATTACAAGCATCATGCTATGTGATGCTTGCTGGGATTCTCTATCTTTATCTAAATGTAAAAATATCAAATATAGTATTTGTTTTGCGGATGGTTTAAAGAAGCGAGATATTTTGTTGAAAGTGAGTATAAAATATAAAGCAACACTACAAGTAGCCATGATAGTTTATGTGAAATGTAGTGTGACTATTGTGGGAGATGTGGAAGTTCAGGAGACTCTGTCATAAAGTGCTACAGGTAGGCTGTGAACTAGAGTGTGTGATGTAGTTGGCAGATTATTTAAAATTATCTGGAATAGTTCTGATCTGGGATCAACCCCTTTATAATCTTTGTAGTTGTCACCATTATATAAAGTACAAAAGCTTTCTTATATTGACATCAATATTAAAATAACTCATGGTAAAATAAGCAGAGAACAATCATAAAACCAGAACTTTTATAAAGCCTAAAGCCCATCTAGGAAAACAAATTTAAGGCATATAACTGAGAAAACTAATTAAAAGTGATTAGCTTATTTACAAAAATCATATAAATTACAATAGTGTTGTTTCAGAATTAGCAAGATGCAAATCAGTGTAGTAAGTCACCTATGTTTTACAACAGAACATGAATTTTGAATCAATCTTCTTATATTTTCATGTAATACAATTTTTATACCATTGTCAGAAAAAAGATGTTCACAGATTTTGTTTGAAAATAAGTGTATTTTGTGCATAATTAGTATTAGATTTTATTATTCTGAAACTTGATCCCAGCAAAACTTCTGAAAGAGATATTACCCTTGTTGGAAATATTTTATTAATATAGTTATATTTGTGAAATAATCCTTCAATGCCGGAAATATCATTTTCAACAATTTTGAATTATATCCATAATATTTGGTATATGAATATGCAGATAATGGTTTATTTTTGATATTTTCAATATAAACAATATGGTATGTGTATAGCAGAGTATGTATCATTAATTATAATGATAGTAAAGGGATCAGTGATTTGTTGCTTTAATAATATATTTTAAAATTATGACAGACAAAAACTGATAATACATGTCAAAACATTTATGTAAAATTCAATATCTGAGTTTGTTGCTATATTCTCATCTCAAATTTCATAGTGCATAAGTGTATGTTAGCTTTGTTAATGATAAAAAATATGAGATCTTGAGCACACTTTTATCAATAAGCCATCTTTAACATTCTTGTGTGATTTCTGAAATATGAGCCAAAGCAATATTGTTTATTTTATTCAACTGACTTATCTACGTGCTAAAATCTGCTGAGGGTTTACTAGTTCAAGGTAACTGGCTTCAGCATTACCATACTGCATATTAATAGGAAAAATGATATAAAACAGTTTGTGTGGGTTGTGAACCGAATGGTGAAAGACAATTCTTTACAGCAAATATAATGTTAACCTTACCTGGTCCATAGAATCTTTTGCCCCTGGTAACATCATATATATTTCCATTAACAGCTACCAGGATCCTACCGTCTTCTTGATTACCATCATACTTTCTCAACTCCTCCACTGTGAAGTCTCTCTTCTTCATTTTTGGTAACTCTGGTATTTGTTCTCTAACTGGCTCATCACTTTGGCGACTTTTAATAATTTTATACACTAAAAATACTATAAGAAGCACGAGAGCGAGATTTAAGGGACTAGTTATAATTTCGAAGAATATGCTAGTAAATAATCCCGGTTTCACTGAAGAATCATCGGCCATATTGATAAATAAATAGGTTAAAAGCGACGGGTAATATTTAGAATCACAAATAGAAAAACGAGACAAATGTAAAACACCTAGCTTATTGGAAATCCGATTGGAAACGTTCCAAAATTCAAATTGCAGCTTTTCTAGTTTTCAATGACCGCAACAGCGTACAAAACGACGCAACGCCAAAACACAGAACACGAATAAATGTCGCGTCACGTAGCAGATTACACGGAACTTAAGGTAAGAAATTGCAGAAACAAAAGGTCTACATGTTGAACAGGGCCGTATTGTATCAGATGTGCATATGTCTTAAACGTCCATAAAGCAGCATTTTTTCTGCATTTGTTTGGATGAGTTTTCATTTTTCTGGTACGAAGGAAATTAAAGAAAAATAATGAAGATTTGTTTTTTTGTTGAATTGGGGACATGCGGCCCGTAGGTAGTCTCGCGCTTTCATGGTGCATAGCGACGATGTAAGCGACACAGAACAGCATTCGTACACCGAACTATCGTGCTCCTGAACCATCTCAGCGCTCTGTTATCTACGTTGCAAAGATGGTCAAAGTTGTATAGTTCTGTTCACGGTTCTTGATAGTTACATCAAAATGTCAACTGTACCACTTGTGGAGCTAAACATTTCTATTCTAAGGGAAATTGAGGCGCAACCCATGTCTAAACGCATGCTGCTACTTGCTCTTGCACATACACATGAACTGGGAGATAGAGGACCGTTCTTTTCATCCAATCACCGAAAATACTTCACTAAAACCACAGACTATTGACATTATAGTTGTATGTTAAGGCATTGGCTACGTTCTATATCGAATATCAACAAAAACTACACGCCTATGTATGCCAAGCAAGTTGTCATACGGACAGCGTCAATCATAAATAAGGATGACTCATTTGTGTACAAGATAATTCTCAAGACGGTGAGTCAAATCTGAAAAACGTATGTCTGAGAACTTGCACGAACAAATGTACGCGCATAGAGAGAAATTGCATATGTATGCGTGAGGGCAGCCTTATGTGAGTCACCAAAAACCAAGATAAGGTTAAAGCATCCCACAAACCGGCGCGAAATATTCGCTTTGGCTGCGAAAATTTCGCGGCGATGAATTCGCGATCAGATTAAAACGCGGCGGTTTACGGACAGGCTCAGACTTGTGCGAAGCGAATGCGATTGTTCCAGCGTTTTTATCGCGGCGTATTTCAGTTCGCCTTTGACCGCGTTTTTGACGCCGTTCTTCAAAAATTCGCAATGGCAAAAACGGAATTATTGATAGAAATAGTGAAAAAGTATCCTTGTTTGTATGATTTGTCGAACGATGAATACAGGAATGTGAGAAAGAAAGACAAGATTTGGATGGAAATAGGAAAAGAATTAAATACAAATGGTATGTACCTAATATTTTTTATTAACTTGTTAAATAATTTACAGTCTACACAAATGTGAAAACGAACATTCTATATATTGGGCATAGGCATATCAGAATTCAAATAATTTACGAATTTGTCACGAGTAGAAAATGCTAGCCTTGCTGCCCGCCGAGGATCATTTGCTATATCAGTAAAAGCTCCAAGCACGGGTTCTGGGGGATCTAAGAATTGAAAATATTTGTCATCGCCACTTTTACTTCGTAAAAAATTGTGTAATACACATGCCGTACGTACAATTAGAATAGTAGTATCTACTTTAGTTTCTAATGGCCTGTAAAATATTCGCCATTTTTGAGACAAAATACCAAACGCATTTTCCACGACCCTTCTAGCTCGACAACGTCTTACATTGTATTTCTCTTTTCTGACGTCTGTTAAAGTCTGCTTATAAGGAAATGGTCTCATAAGGTATGATTTTAAAGCAAATGCTTCATCACCAATTAAGACATACGAGCAGATTTCATTTTGCCCAGGGAGAAATCTAGGTGCAGGGACACTCATTAAATTTTGTTCAAATCGTTTTCCCATGTTTGAGGTTTCGAAAATACCCCCATCACTATTTTTTCCGAAACCACCAATATCAACACATATAAATTTATAGTCCGGGCCAACAATGGCCATAAGTACTATTGAATATTTATGTAAATAGCACCAGTAATTGGAGCCACTGTTGTTAGGTCTCTTGATTGTTACATGTTTACCGTCCACGCTGACAATGCAATTGGGAAATCCCCATCTATTTTCAAATTCTTCAGCACATTTTTTCCATATATTCTCTGTTGGTTCTGGTAAATATATATGCTCCATATGTCTACATATCGCTTCACAGACTTCGGTTACGATTGCACTCACTGTTGTAAAGCCAACTCGAAAGCTATGCCCAATGGTATAGAAGGTGTCACCAGTGGCAAGGAATCTATAAAAAAAATCGTTTTTAGGTGATGAAGTAAAAAAAAGGTGGAAGAATATCAGAGACACATTTGCAAAATATATAAAATCTACCAAACCAAAGACCGGCCAAGCAGTAGGCAACATAAAAAAATGGCAGTGGGCTGACTACATGGAATTTTTCCGTCCTTTTTTGGCATTTGCCAAAACGTCGTCTAACGTGAAAGATATTGACGTCATACATTATGAGACTGCCGAATTTAACTCAAATATATATCGGGAAAGGGCTGGAAATGTAGAAACCGAAAATTTGGAAGACCGCGGTCATGGTGAAGATGAAAATGTTGATGTAGATGCAGAAGATGCACAGAACGCCTAGGCAACACAGACAGCACCACCTTCTTCATTGAACACTACAGCAGTGACTACTCCAGGGCACACCTTTCCGCAGACTGCAACTACACCAAAATATAAAACGAGCAGAAAATGCTATGAACCACCATCTTCGTCTGTACAACAGCTCATTAATTATTTTGAAGGTAAAACACCTAAAAAAGAGAACGAGGCCCTTGATTCACTTTTCTTGGCACATGCACAGACTGTGAAAACAATTCCCTTAAAGCGTCAAGCCTGAATAAAACTAAAAATAGCCGAATTAATAGCGCACGAAGAATTTGAACATATTGAAGAAATGTCTTCAGCGTCTACCCTGAATTCTGCAAGTATGTAACATATGATAGTAGTATGTCGTCCTTCCCAAGCGGCACTGGGTTTAACTCCAATAATATACCCAACAGAGGAGGCAAATTCTGCCTCGAATTATTTAGCAACATTTAATCCTAGTGGCAACATGTAGCCCAATTATTACAATAAAATATTTATTTCACGATCCCTGAAGTTTTCGTATTCGATAAGCCTACTAATTTTAATACATATAATTTTTTTACCTGAGTGTAATAGCAAGTCGTTCTTCTGGCGAAATAGCTTCACGATAATTTGTGTCAGATTTTCGTATTTCATCTTTCACCAAGTTCAATATTTCATCGAAACACTCTGGAGTCATTCTAAAATATACGTAAGAGCGCTGTTCATCCAGCCGAAGTTGTGGCATCAAGGTATGGTATTCCCCAAATTTATTTCGTTCCAAGTTAATATCATGTACCCACTTCCTTCGTTTCCTAAACAAAATTGAAAATATTTGTTTTATGTACTTCGTTAAACTTAATACATACCCAACTATCAAATGGCGTTAAATAAACATAACTTACCGTGCATTTTGTTCCTCTTCTAAAGCAAGAAATAGAAGTGCCTCCTCTTCTTCTGAAGACGAGCTCATTGCAAAAGGCAAAAATAAAATGTACGCAACCTGTCGAAACCTTCACGTTCGCGGAGCGAATAAGACGCTTTGGTATGAATAAACAGGCGAAACAGATTGCGAATTTCGCTCTGAATTTCGTTGCGAATACTTCGCCGCGATTATTTCGCGCCGGTTTGTGGGATGCTTTGGTTACACAAAACATTCCGTTTGTTATCTCTGTCCTGCAGGTTAGTCGATCTGTAGTCTATGTGGCAGGCAAATGCTGTATGCAATGATATTGGCAGATGTAGTTACATATTGTAACGTAACTGGAGCTCTTATCATCATTAGACACTCTTAAGGTGCTTACCAACCAGAATTAAACACGTGGCGAAAGATCGTCATGCTTCGAGAAACATCGAGTTCGCCATCTAGCAAGCTTCGATGAAGGAACTAGTACTGCCTGGAAAGCTTCTGGAATTCATTGATTCAAAATACACGCACATAGTCAGCAGCGCGAAATGAGATAGTCCAGTCAACCTGGTAAAAAATGTAATAAATTAGTTGCAAGTGTGGAAATAAATTAGTGTGAAAGTAAAGACGGTGTTACGATATAAGATTGTGGCACCGCAATTATCTTTTGATGCAGTTCAGGTAGCTAATCGGAATGCCACATATGGAGGGAGGCACAGCAGCTGTTTAAAATGACCGAGCATACATATTGTATTTAGCTCTATTATCTACTTAACAGTGCAACAACGGATATAGGCATGCTACAGATTCAGTTCTAACTGATTATTGATCCTGATATGCGAATTTATCATTATTGCAATCCTATCGATGAGCCCGAAGAGGCTCGATTCGAGTTAGCATATTGGGTGAAATCTCTGTACTAGGAATTTTGCACAGCCTGATACAGCATCATATTATGACAGTCAAATCACAGTTGGCTGTGGTCAATGTGTATTCCTGATTATACAGATTCACTTTAACAGAAGACTAAATGTTGCTTCAAATAGGTCTTAGTAACACCGGTGGCGTAGCTAGGATTCATATGACCCATATACATATCATAAATCATGCAAACGATTCTAGAGTTTAGATAATTACTCTCTGTTCAAAGCATCGCCCTCGATTAGATTTTAAGAAGCCAAGCCTACATACAGGGTATCCCAGAAATAACCAGAGTGACACGGGTGGTAGATTGGCTTCAGATCAATCAGATAAAATCAACATGACCTTAGGAAAAGTTTTGTAGTTTTCGAGATATTGCTACTTTTAAGTTTTTTCGTCAAATATCTATTTTTTGCTTTTTGCCTGTTACGGCTCTAAAGAACTTCTAAGCATATGATTTTTTCCTGGGCTACCATTAATAATTGGTTGAGACAACCGAGGATTCATTACATTGAAAACTAACTTTTTACATTTGGTTTTAATGCGAAAACCTTTACTGAAGTTTGACTAATTACTGTGAAAAAAATATACCAGACTGAATCAGCAAATTACCTTAAAAAGTAGCTACGTAATGCTCTTTCAAAAATAGTACAACATGTGTAGGTTCTTTTTACTAAAAACTGAATAATTCCAAGTACTGTCATTGAAGTCGTAAGTCGTAATACTTGCGAAATACTAAAAATAAAAAATAACAAGTGTAGTTGTCTTTTGTGTCTACATCACAACTTTTTAGCTGCTGTAATCGCTATTCATTCTAGCAAATGTCTAAAACAGCTACCCATTATCCTTTTTTATTCACGGTTGTATGCAGGCGTCAAAATGATGAATCTTTGTATTTCCATTGATTTTGGCAACGTTCAAATCACAGAATTAGTAGTAATTATGAACATCTCAAATTAACTGAATGAAAAATTAAATTAACATCTTTTAATGGAAATATTGCCTGAAATAAATGATTACTATTATTTTTATCTATAGTATTTCGCAAGTATTACACTTCAAAGACAAAACTTGGAATTATTCGATTTTTAGTAGATAGAACCTACAAATGTTATACTATTTGTAAAAGAGCAATAAACATTCTAATTTTCAAGATCATTTGCCGATTCGGTCTGGTAAACTTTCTTTTCACAGTAATTAGTCAAACTAATAGAAGAAAAGGCATTGAAATAAAATATAATATTTTTTGGCATCCGTGCTAGTTTTCAATGAAATGAATTCTTGATCATCTTAACCGACTATTAATGGTAGCTCAGGAAAAAAATCATAACAGGCAAAAAATGAGCAAAAAGTAGTGATTTTTTAGAAAAACTAAAGAGTGGCAATATCTCGAAAACTAGAAAACTTTTACAAGGGTCATGTTGATTTTATCTGGCTGATCTGAAGCCAATCTATCTCTCGTGTCACTCTGGCGTGTTATTTCTGGGACACCTTGTAAATTTACATTGCGTTGTTTATCGCCAAAATTGTGTAGTTTTAGTGCATACTTTTGACTCATTTGTTTACCAATGTCTACCAAAGTGAAAGCGTTGTATCAATATAATACTAACACTTACCGGCAGAAACATCTACCTTTATTAGGCTTGTTAAAAGATAACATTATACGAATTTAATGACAACTGTTGAAAAATTGATGTATGTCAAGTGCACTCTGATCCTCACTACAGGCTTTGAGAATAAGGAGACAAATAATGAATTGACTGGCTCGTTCCACCTAGTGCGAATTCGTTGGTCAAACCATGCAGTATTTATAGTGCTATTCAATTATTTTAGCTGTCAAAATACGTTCAAATCAAATCCATGTTGAAACTATTTTTGTTTGAGCCAAATTAGAATATATGAAGTCAGTAAAGCCAGATAGTAGATAAATATACGAGTACAGAAACACGAAGTCAGCTAACAGCTGATATCGTTATTTCGTTATGTCGTTGAGCAACAGAATCATGAACAAGATCGATTCATGTTTAGCTTTTATTGGGCGAGTATTAAATGTGCGTCTCTGTGAATCACGGTTTAACATTAAGTTTTCAGCTGATGATGACATTTTTTAATCAGAATCACAAATCTCTAGTTTTATTCTTTGTACAACATAATCACGTTACAAGTACATTCAAAATCATTTTGCTTCATATACAGGAAGAGTATGAAAAGGTTATTGTAGATACCAACATGTATAATGAGAATAATGAAAACTCCTAAGTATTTATTTTCTTCGTTTATTATGATCAAAATTACTCATTTTAACCATTTGTGTTAGACAAATTGGTAATTAGCGCTCGCATGATAATAATTCCTATTTGTGTCAGTACACCCTGGATCCGCTCCTCAAGTCATCGTTGGTTGTCAGAGCGGTCCGTGGGACCTTAGCTCTTGAGTCACAGTGTCAGTTTGTAAGTCTGTCAGGTCTGGTAACCCAGAAACCAGACAATTTTAAGGAGGATCCGCTCCTGTCGCCTTTTTGAAAGGGCACTTTGGAAACTGTCACAACTGACAGGCTTATATGACAGTGACAATTCGATTTGACGTTCGTACCTTGGTGTTAGGTGTTAGGTTATGTTATGCTTTTGTTTATCATTCACTCTGTGAAGAAGTGTGTCGTTCTCTTGAGGGGTTTTTGTTGCTCACAGACCACTCACAGTTGGGAAAAAGTTATTCATTTGATAAATGGTAGTCTAAACCCCTTTGTATAATGAGCAATCGAAACTATTACTCTAGGAATCAAGAGCATTCACAGGGTCAGAGCACTCGATTAGAAAGTTGGAATAGTAATCAGTATGAATCTAAATTCAGACAAAATAATTGGGGACAAGAAGGGAGTATGAGTAACCAACATCGCGAACAATGGGTTAGAGGACGCAGAGGATGTGAGCCATGCAATAGAGAGGAAAGGGGCTATGATCGAAATCAAAGAGGATATACAACTCCTGGAGGAGATCGTAGACAATTTAGAGGGCGAGGCAGAGGTTTTTACTCACGGCAGAATACTCCATATGATAGACCAACAAATTCCAGGAGGTTTAAAGATAATGTGCCTAGTGAAGAAATAAATACGGCTAGTTTATCACCATTAGACATAAAGGTCAATAATTTAATAAATGCAGTTCAGTCTCAGCATCCTGTTATAGGTCAAATAATATTCACTCAAATTTGTAATGAAAATCCAACAGTATTATTGCAAAATGCTATACAAGCATTAAGGAACTGTACCATAAATGTGCTACAGAACCAGCAAAGGTATGTTTTTGGCAATAAATGGTACCAGTAAATGTGAAAGATCAGTGTTTTATATTTTAGTGGCTTGTATGAGTTGAAGATAAATGGAGATAAATTTGCAGAGGGGCCCTTTCCATCAGCTAAACAAGCAAAAAGCACTTTGTTTGAAAATGTTTTTCATGATTTGAAAGATAAATGCTTTCTCATTACTAAAAAGCGTAATTATGAAGAAGTGACCACAGATGAGATTAATAAGGTCAAAGAAGAAGGGAATGCCCCCAGCAGCAGTAATGAGTATGTATGGTTATAGAATAATTTCTGTTTCAACTCAATCTATGATTTCAAGTAATTAGGTATCTTCGGGTTTTTGTCATTACTGTTCTAGAACTATCAGGAGCATGCGCAGAAACGACTAATGTGTTTGGGTTTCTGTTGAATTACTATCGGACCATTTTAGAACTGAAATTTGGTGTTCGAGTTATGTTCTGGTTCAGCTCTAGGATGGTTCAAGAATCATTCAAGCAGTTCTTGCTTTACTGCTGGGACCATCTTTGGTCAACTGGTTTTTCATAAAAGCTTTTTCCTTCTGCCAATGTCATTAATATTATTTGACATGTTTTGCTTTATATGCTGTTTACTTTTTTGTGGCTTGACGAGTGTTTTTTTTATAAAACCAAAAGAAAAGTGGACAAATGGATCCTATGCAGATCATTTTTGATTCTGATTTGTCAATATCATCACCATTGGCTGACAGTGATGATGATCTTGAAGCAGCTAATCCCAACTTATTGTGGTTATAGTTACTGACAAATGCTTTTTTCGCACAGCTATCTTCTTTGTTTCCATAGTCTAGTGTTCAGGCCATTCAGGTTTTGGCAAAATTCTCATAGTTCGTGGACTGTTCATAACCACTCCTCGAAAATAGCAATTAATAATTTCAAAATTGTGTATAAACCCTGAAATATTTTTAACAATCTTATACTGTTTCTCACTTACTTCTACATTTTCGGGTGAACAACATATTCCTTATGTACCTTCTTCATATCAATTACATGCACTGAACTTACAACTTGATGTTGCTAGACTAGATTGCTGTCCTGTTGTATATATGACTTCATACACAACATCACGATAACTGATTATAATAGCTCTCTAGTGTACTTTAAACCCTGAAAATCCCATCGACGCACATCTGCAGGTTTTCACGAAAAAAAAAATACACTACAGGACTGTTTGTTATGAGTTGAGGTGTACGACTAGCTTTAGATACGAACCTACAAACCCTTCTATGAGTAACGCAGGCGACCAGCGTTTATTCGGTCCGCTGTAATCGAGCGGCCGGTAGGATTGTTGAGCCAGCTTTTTGGAGCTAACTTCACACGCATAAATTTCTTACTATAGTATACATTGAACACTTTTCTGATATTTGTTCATAAAAACTGATAACAGCTAGAAATCTAATGTAGGTAATGCAACTATTCTGATTGTTAACTTCTAATACTCATGTTTTTGTTGAAAATAGTATAAATCTAATCTACTTTTGTCATTTTACTAAATCATCTTAGCTGGGCATATTTACCTTCTGTTCTAAACCCGCATATAAACTTGCGATTCTGCCATGTCATAGTGCCACTGGATACTGTCCGATTTATGCATATCTGACATTATTTAGAGATAATGATTCAACAATGTTGAGTAACATTCCTTTGATGATTACACCTCTCAGATACCATGAGGTCTCATATACAGCACTCTGATAGTTGAGGGTGTTATCATCCTGCCCAGTTTTTTTAATGTCTCCACACATAAGACATTAAACTTTGATATCCTTGAAAACATTACAGCTTGGGCGAGAACAGTAAAGCTTACCAAATGATGCTTAAAATGGGTTGGGGTGGAAAAGGACTTGGATCTCAAGAGCAAGGTCAAGAGAAAACAGTTGCAGAATTGATTACTGAGAATATCACAAAAGAAGGACTTGGCAGCAAGAACGTTATGGAAGAGATAGATAGGATCATGAGGGAGTTTGCTCAATCGACAAAACTGTCCACTCTAGCATTTGATTCAAGTTTCACAAAGGAGGAAAGGGCTCGAATGCACACGTTAGTATGAGTTCATGATAGTCATATTTTTAAACATATTTTTCTTGTATTTCTGTCGATTCCTAGCGATTCGGTGATTTTTTATTCGTTCCTTTGAGACCGTAAAAAACTTATGTTAATTGATTTTTGGCTATACATGTATTATAGAGAAATGGTATTATACATGGCTCCCCTAATTGTAGCACTATTTTTTTTGGGTATTACGCGGCTGATTCGGCTTTTAAGAACGATTGGGAGGAATTTTATAAGAAATACCTTTTAGCTGATGTAAAAACAAGGTTTTCAATAGGATTCCATTGTCTGGAAAAGTATGATGAAAAAATGCCCTCCTAGAGTAGAAGCGAAACGAGTTTTATACATGGCTTGGATGCATTTCTTTGTTCTCGCGTAGATTGTCGGTCTCTAATGATGCGGCATAAACGATTTTCTCATGGATTGTTTGCTGCTAATTTTATGGTTATCAAATCAGCGACATTGCTGATTTTGTAATTTCTTATTTCTGAGACTTGTCTTTTGTAGGATTGCATCAAAATATCATTTGAAGTCAAAGAGTGAAGGAAAAGATGAAAACAGGAGAATAACAATCAGTAAAAAGGTGGATAAATGGAGTATAGTGAGCGAACTGTTGAGAAATGGCTTGGAGAATGAATCTTATAAATTGCAAATTCCAGAAAAGTTTAAATATTTATGGATAGACTCATTGTCATCTGATGAAGAAGAATGTTAACACAACTAGTCACAGCCTTTATTGTGCAGGATTGGGTTTTTTGATTTTTGAATATACTTGAATGTTGAACATTCAAGTTCACAGATAAGTTTGTATGTCTACTTATATATATATAGAGCTGATAAGAATTACAGTTCTTATTTTTCACTTGTAGTCCCAGATTCCATAACACCTTTATCACTTTATCAAATCCATGGTTCTAATGCGGTTTCCGTCATAGCATTTTAATGTTTAATGCAGAAAAATGATACGCTAATGTTGTTTGATCCCAAGCTGTCGCAAATGCGTTTGATTTAAGTTCGAAGATGGCATGACTGACAAATACCTGTTGAAAATGGTAAGGTGTATTGTTGTGAGACTGTTATAGTTACATTCTCATATAGATGTCTTTGGGATTATCAAAGTTGTACTGCCATCTGCAGTTCTCATAGGGAGTAAAAATAGCACATGTCTAGTCAAGGGCAGCATTGAGTATGCAGCAGTATTTTCATTTCATTTGAACATGAATCCCAGATGGTAATACGGAAGAGTAGTTATACAGGGTGCCCGATATGTAAGTGACTGGTTTGTATCTTGAATATTTGTGAAATGAAATGAAGCATGTCCATTTTTTTTCGTCTCAATCTTGAAAAATAATATCAGACATATGTCCTCTAGAAACCGCGCAAACCGAGCCCTCTTGATTACATTTTCCATCACTTTTTGGTAGGTTTCGGGAGGAATATTTTCAATCGCTTCCATAATATTGTTCTTCAGCTGCTCTACAGTATTTGGTTTGTTGGCATAAACCGTATTTTTCAAAACTTTCCATAAAAAAAAGTCAGGAGCCGTTAAATCCGGTGACCTTGATGGTCAGTTGATATCACCACATCGAGAAATTAAACGTCCCGGAAATCTTGTATGCTAACGATTCATTGTTTCCCTAGCTGTGTGACAAGTTGCTCCGTCCTGTTGGAACCACATATTTTGCAGGTTAAATTGTTGGATTTAAGGAGCCAGAAGGTTTTGCACCATACCGCGGTAGCGCTCGCCAGTGACAGTAAGATAATTACCTGTAGCGTCTTCAAAGAAGTAAGGTCCAATGACACCTCCATACCAATCACCGCATCAAACTGTGACTCGACGAGGATGTAGTGGTCGTTGATGGATGACACGAGAGTTCTCTAATGCTTAGATACGACAATTCTGCTTATTAACAAATCCGTTCATATCGAAGTGGACTTTTATCGCTCATTATCAGTTGTCGGTAAAAATCGTCATTTTATTAAGCTGCAATATTGTATGACTGTATTGTCGGCGACTTTCATGGTCACTAGGCTGTAGTTCTTGAGTTAACTGAATTTTGAATGACCGCAAATGCAAGTCTTTTTTTAAAATAGTGCAACGAATACCCACTTCTTGAGAATGATGTCTGGTAGATGTCTCAGTTCGCTCCACTACTCTTTCACGAACTTTCTCGATATTTTCCGGAGTACAGTACAGTTCGAACACGGCCCGACCCTGGTAAGTCTTTAACTTCACCTGTTTGTTCAAATTTCAGCACCAACTGATGAATGGTGTTGACACTGGGTACATTATTTCGACCGAAATCTTGTCGTAGCTTCCGAATCGTTGCAACAATCGACTTATTATTTAAGTAAAACGTTTTAACAATACGGACGCGTTGTGGGATCGTGTAGCGTTCCATGATGAATTTAAAATCAGTCGGCTATATATTGGCCACCCTGTACAAAGAAAAGACAGAAAAGGCGAGTCAAATTAGAGAGAGATAAGAGAAACATGAAGTCCACAAAAACAGCTGATGGCGTGTGAACACGGTTGTTCATTTGGATTAATTCATTGACTATCACTTGTAGTGAATGCATTTTTTGTTCAAATATACTTTTGTTTGGACAGTTATTCATGGTGGGGATATTTATTCTCAAAAGCTGTAAATAGTATATACTATTTAACTTTTATGGCACTACCCGGCATACCACACGACTTAGTTTAGTAACAAAAGAATTACGTTAGCTTGGAATTTAAAAGTTTTCTGACTTCAAATTGCTTATTTAACCAACCATCGGTCTATTTGACATGGTCGTGGGAGTTATCTCTCCTTAAGACGATATGTTTATTTATTCCGTATGATTTTTTGACGTGACCACAAAAAATCATGAAAATAGCTGAACTCTATTCTACTTAGTATATATTTGGCATTTCATAAATATTTTATAGCAGCTTGGCAATGCCGCCTGTTTTTATTTGTAAACCAGTAATAGCCCAAGAGCCGACCGCAAAGCTATGGTTACATCGCTTACTGATTTGGAGTGTTAAAAATTTGGGACGTTTGCCATCATCATCATCAAAATACGTAAGCTGTGACTAGTTTTTATCGTATCAGTAGGCGATGATGTAACAAACATTTACGATCGGCTACTATAATGTAGATGACTTTCAAGGTCGATGCGGCCGACCGGCAGATTATAAAGGCATTTTTGATATAACTACCCTTTGGCAATACTATACAGGGTGTTCCATAATTATTGCGACAAAATGATAGGGGTTGTAGAGGGCATCAAAATGAACAATTTTGCCTTATAAACCCCTGTTCGGAAATATGCCGTTTGGGCTGCAGCAAAAAAAAAGATCAGTTTCTTGAAACAGCTTACCTACAGTAATTGCTCAAAGTGTCCTCCACCTTGCTCAATACACAGCTGTGCACGATTGTTCAATGATCGGCGAACTCTGTGGCATACCCCCGGTATGTCCTGAACATGTGCGGACGCGACCATCACTCTTCCCAGTAGGTCTTGTTGGTTCGGAACAGGAGTTTCGTACACTAAAGCTTTCAGATGGCCCCAGAGAAAATAATCCAGTGGGGTCATTTCGGGTGACCGCGCAGGCCAAGGCACAGGGCCACCTCGGCCTATCCACCTATTTGTCGTCCAAATACTGCCGCACTTGTAAAGAAAAGTGGGCTGGAGCGCCATCGTGTTGAAACCACGTGTTGGCTCTTATGTTCAGTGGCACATTTTCTAATAGTTCCGGTAGCACATGCTGTAAGAATCGACCATAAGCATGCCCATCCAAACGTGGTGGAAGCAAATATGGCCCGATGATATGCTCGTCCACAATGCCGCACCAGATGTTAATTGAAAACTATGTTGGTCTCTATGGATGGCTACGGCATGAGGGTTTTCTTCATCCCAAATGTGACTGTTATGGCTATTAAAATAACCGTCCTTTGTGAAACAGGACTCGTCAGTGAACAAAACGTAGCGACCAAAGTTTGGTTGCCTCAACTCCTGCTGCAGCCACCAACGACAAAAACGTCGACGCGGCAGATAGTTTTCTGGACCCATGGCTTGGACTTTTAAAAGGTGGTATGGGTGTAGTTGCTGGTCATGGAGAACCCTCCAAGCAGTAGTTTGAGACGCTCCCATTTCATGTGCAATAGCACGCACGCTTGTACGCGGATTGGCCTCTACATGATGCAGAATCGCTGACACGAAGACGTCCATGAATCCTTGCAAAAATGGCGTGATGCGGATGAGGACGTTCTGGAAACCGTTGGGCGTAGATTCACGAGGCTCGTCTTCCGTTACCACCAGCTTCTCCGTAAATTAAATGCATATCCGCAAGTTCCGCATACGAATAACGCTGCATTTTAACACTAAGGTACTGTTATTTACTATCTAGTTTGACGCACCACTCAGATAAATTAAATGAATCGGTGTGGAGAATTTACGATAACAAAAATGTAAACACAGCAGGCTTTTTTTTACAAATCGGCGAGACCATGAAATGTGCTAGACGAACATTTTGCAGCTGTTGAATTTTTTGTTTCTCCTATGAGCTCTTAAGGTAAAATTAGCGGTAGTGCTCAAACGGCATATTTACGAACAGGGGTTTATAAGGCAAAATTGCATATTTTTATGCCCTCTACAACCCCTATCATTTTGTCGCAATAATTATGGAACACCCTGTATATTTATTTTGAAATATATTAAGGGTGACCTACACAGCTATTTTTATATACTGAAGCAGCCGCGCAGGCTGAAGCCTAAATGCCCTGAAACCGCGGCTGCTAAGAGGATCCCAAAGAAATTTTGTTAATCCGGTTTTTGAACTGCCTAAGGTTAGCAGATTTGGGAAAAGCTTCCTCTTGTAGTTCGTTCCACAATCCCGTCACCCTCGGGACAAAGGAGCGGTCGTATTGGTCAGTTCTGGATGTAGGAAGTTCGACACGGTTAGGATGGGAGGTCAAAGTCGGGCGGGACTGTCTGGTCGGCACATCGCGCGACGGCATCATGGAAGAGAGCTCTGCGGAGCAAAGCCCGTTGGTGTAGCGGTAAAAAAGAGCTAGATAGCCGACGGCTCGCCGGTGCAAAAGGGTTCCCAGACTGTCTGGTAGAGAAGCGTCGTCGATCAGTCGGACAGCCCTCCTCTGGAAAGCATCGAGCATAAATAATGTAGTCTGGGAGGCAGCACCCGAAACGTGTAAGCAATACTGCCTGTTGCTAATCAAGCCGTGACGTACGAGGTAGTCCAGAAGCTCGCGATTTATACACCTCTCCATCACCGTACTTATAACAGAAAGCAGAGCTACAAGCCTGTAGTTGTAAGGGTCGGTCTTAGATCCTTTTTTTGAGATGGGATGGACATGAGCAAATTTCCAATTTTCTGAGAACGTGCCGGATTCATAAGATATCTGGAAGAGACGCGAAATAACTGGAGTAAGTTATGCTGCACATCTCTTCAGTACAATGGCAGGAATCAGGTCCGGACCAGAAGCTTTGTTGATGTTGAGCAACAAGAGCACCCGTCCTACGGTCTTATTCCTGAATGTTACTTCCAGCATAGTGTAGGGAACCTTTTGAATCGACGGCACTTGGGCGTTCGGGGGGACGTCCATGGTGGAGTTAGCAGCAAAGATGTTGGCAAGCACTTCCACCTGGGCCTTTGAGTCTGTTACAATCGTTCCATCCTGACACGTAAGTGGTGGAAGGCTACTGTGCGGGAAGTTCCTTTTGATCTGCTTGGTCAGCGACATTACCCTGTGCCTAACTTGTATATCGTGCTAGTCTTTGGCATTGCGAACCGCTTCGTTATATTTGTTTTTGGACTCGATGTCGGCTTGTCTGTTCTCTACAGTGGGGTTTTGTGAGACAGTTCTGTGTGCCTTGATGTTCTGCTGGCGAGCAGTGTCAGACGATTTGTTAAACCAGCCGTTGGACCGTGGTTTAGGCACTTTCTCTGTATGAGAGATGTATTCCTCCATCCCGACATGGATAATTTCGGTTATCGAAGAACAGATAGCCGACGCATCAGCGTCAGCGAAAATAATATATCTCCAAGGAAAAATGCTGATGTAAGACTTGTTTTGTCCCTGACAGTGTCAGTTGGGCAGTTATCATCTTTTCCATGCTTAGGTTTATTATAATTAAAATAGAAGCAGCTTGTCATAAACATATATATTACAAATTTCAACAAGTCCATTCAAATAACTATGTTAATATGGAAAACTATTAGGTACAACATATTTGGTATTAAAAATAGTTTATCATCTGTATTTGACAATCATTTAGTCATTACACAACCATAACTCATCGCTGAATAAAACTACGAAAGCGACAGGTGCTGATTGGTATTATAAATAGTGACGTTATTAAAATTAGCTTATGGATTTCTCTATATATTGTCTTGTATCTGAACTGACTAGCAAGGCGCTAACTTTAGCGAATTTTGTCGAACGGTGTCATTAAACGCTCATATTTAGGCCTTACTTAAACGACAAATAAGTTTGAAAATATTAAACATACTGCGACACTCTTTCACTGGTAACTGATAAAGATCAATTATTTTCATTTTTGATGCTTCGCATACAGAGGTAAGTATACAGGTATATTCCATATTTTCCCTCAAAGTCGATTCATTCATCGATAGACGTTTCGGTCCGGAGGCAAATAAGTAATATAATTGTACTACAAAACATTAGGAGAGGAGGAAAGCTTAGCCAATTTGCGGCGGCTTCCTCAATATAATAATGATGCGAGACGGCGCCGTATACTTTGAAAGTTTACTTCTTCAGGATTTTCTTAATGTACAAGGGTACTATAAAAGTTCTGCAATAAGACTGAACAAACGGACGTAGGAGGCTGCATGTTACTGCATGTTGAGACATGTGTCCATGAGTACATAGTAGCCGCCAGCAACACGTCTGTTGATTTAGTTGTTCATTCATATTGACAGTGTTTGGACAGTGTAAAGTGCGGACTATGGCATCGTGATCATATAGTGAGATAAGGGTAGTCTTACGGTATAACTTCACGCGTGGTGTAAGCATAGACCAGTCCATCGTCCGACTATATTCAGGTGGTACAGATAATTCCAAAGGAGCAATTTCCCTCTGGAGGACGGTGAGAGGGAAGGAAGGCCGCGAACGTCAGTAACAGAAGAAAACATTACTGCTGTAAGGAAAATGCTTAACGATGACTGGAGAGTGACATACCAACAGATAGAAACCTTACACATTCATGCACCATCAATTCATTCAATTATGCATGGCCATTTACATGTAAAGAAACTTTGTTCTCTCTGGGTACCGAAAGATGCTGAGAATGTTTGGTAAGGGGCAATCTCGGTATGTGAACACCATCGTGACAGGTGACGACTATTACGATGTGCCGACCAAGGCTCAAAACAAAGCTTGGGTCTTTGATGATGAGGACACACCCGCAGCTGTCAGAAATTGTGTCGTTTTTGACACACAGAAGACAGTCACAGCTAAGTGGCACACAGAACAGTGACTGCCTAAAGCCACCGAGTCTATGAAAAACCTTCGGCCAAAGTCAAGAATCGACACTCTACCATGACAATGGTCCAGCTCACCGCGCCAAAACCTGCACCAAGTATTTGACTACTGAAATTTATTGAGCACCCTCCTTACAATCCAGATCTTGCTCCTTGCGACTTTGCACCGTGTCCGCATGGGAAAAAAAGCTAAAAGGAAAACGGTTTTCTAGCGATGAGGACCTTCTGAGGGCTTGGGATAACGAGTATGCCGCACTCCCGGGTGAAACTTGGCAGAGCTAGTTTAAGGACTGGTTTTGGCGGATGGAGAAGTATATTGAATGTGGTGGGAATTACTTCGTACGAAGTCAATATATAAAGCTGTATTACAAAACTTTTATAGTACCCTTTGTATCATTGAGTCGGATATTTAATAGTAATCTTTACTACCCATTGGCTGCGTTTTCCATAAAATTTTTTCTGTATGCTGAGCTATTCTACTTCATTTCTGTACATTGACTGATGTCCGGTTTCTAATCATGTCTACCTGCGTGATCTAGAAAACACGTTTTTATGTACCTCATTTAAAGATCGAGATCGAGCCTCAAGTATGCCTTCAACATTACAGCATATCGTTCGAAAAGCTTTACCTTTGAAGCCGCGAAATTTAGACGCAAGTAAGCATGATTAGGATTTATGCACTATAGTTCATTCAAAGTGCTAAATTTCTATACTAGGGTATCTAACAATTCTTTGGTTTGGTACAACTGAGGAGGTCGGTACCTCCTGCTTTCGTACTCAGATGCCTGCTGAGCTTTGCTGAAGAGCAACGCTTGCAGCATTTCATACTCCTTATCTTCATTTGCTATATCTCTATACAGGTTGTCCAGATACAACCTCCTACTCTCTAGTTTTTCCACGATTTCTTCCAAGACGATTTCATTGTGTTGCATCTCGCAAGCGCTTTTAGTCATGTCGGTTCTGAGTTTATTTAGAGCTTTGCTGACCTCTTCGGTGCCTTCTTTGTTTTTTTCGTATTTTCGGATGTTTACGTCCAACCTCACGAGTGCTTCTTCTTCTTTGAGAAGCCTTTTGTTCACTTTTGTTATTTTTTCGTACAGTTCCAGTTGTTCTCGAACTGTGGCCTCACTTACTGTGGAACTGGTGTCGTCGTCTTTTAGGTCCTTGCCGAATTCCTCGGAAGATAAAGATAAGCGTTCTAAGGTCTGAAAAATATAAAATAATCATTTAAGTTTTTTATAATTCACTCATAACCGAATAACTTGAATAAAAATGTATTATTTAATAATAATAATAAATTGCTTTTATTGCTCATGTGAGTACAGAAAAAGAAAAAGTACATAAATCTGATGCAGTGAGCAAACGGCAAGGTTCGCTTGATTGACAACCATTAGTTGTCAATCCGCGCTCTTCCACCTAACAAAAAAAAAAATAAATAAAGTAGTATATCAGTAGTAATAATAACAGCAAGAGAAAATTTAAACGTTAACACAGATACATATAGACATATTATGTTTTATAGATGACATATAACTGTTGCAGGCACCTTGGTAAAACCTATAATATAAAACGAGTTGATGCTTGAATGAGATAGCTAGAAGTTGTAGCTAATATCTTATGAAGGGAAAATGTCAAAGATCAAACGAAAAAGAATGCTTGACTTTGTCTGGTTTCTGGGCAACCAGGACTGACAGATTCGACTAACGTACATCAGACAGTGACTAATGGGCAAAGGTCCTACGGACCGCCTAGACAAATAAATGACGCATAGTACGAAAAAGACATACAGAAGAATAATTGGCAAATCAGCGTGCAGTGTTAAATTTAAGTCATCTCAAGTCTCAACATAGTCTTCACTTCTCGCTTAAATCTCAAAATTGATAGGGCTTTAATTCTATCAGGCAGCGAGTTGTAAACCTTAACAATGTCATATGAAAAAGAGCACTAATAATTTGAAGTTTTAAATTTAGGTAGTGAGAGATGATGTTTAAACCTCGTGTTACGACTATGCACTTCTGTACGGGTCTTGATCTTCTTGTAAAGATAGGATGGTGATTCAGTATTGAGTGGTATAGTACGGATCGATGAAGGAACCTTCTTTTCTCTATATTGAGCCAACCTAAGTTCTTTAAGTGAAGAGATATCGGCTGCCGCCTTCTAATACCACTAACAAACCTGACACAAGAATTTTGAATACGCTGAAGGCGCGCCTTATCTCGATGTAGCAATGACGGGCCGTACGCGCAGTCTGCATAGCTGAGGTGAGAAAGAACTAAACACTCGCATAATATTATTTTTGTTGTCTTGGTTATGATGCTTCTGCTATTGTATAGCAGTTTCAATGATGAAAATGCCCTTTTGGTTATAAGAGAGACATGCTGGAAAAAGCGTAGATCTGTATCCATAATAACCCCTAAATTTTTAGCGGAGTTTGTAAAAGTTATTTTGTCTTGTCCGAAATAAATGTCTAAATTATTGGAGTATAGTTCACGATTCTTGTTTTTACCAAATAGTAGAGCCTTAGATTTAGTGGCGTTGACGGAGAGACAATATTTTTTTGTTAGCTGATAAAGAACCTGAAGGTCCTCATTTATGTTAGTTAAAGTTCGGTTTATATCTGATTCATTAAAAGCAATATATCATTGAGTGTCATCGGCGTAATAGTGATATGAGACGTGTTTAAAACTTTTGTGCAGCTGCGAGGTATACAGAGTGTACAAGAGTGGATCTACAACAGATCCTTGAGGTACACCTCGACAAACTTTAGACAATTCGGATGTTTCACCAAAGCATTTGACAACTTGTGCCCGAATTTCTTAATAAATGAACCGCACTTTTAGAAAAACCCAAGTAGTGAAGAACAGCAATCAGTAGATCATGGTTTAGCTTATTAAAAGCCTTCGAAAAATCTAATAAGATTAAGATGCATAGGTTGCCATCATCAATGTATTTGCGGATATCATCTGTTACTTTGAGCAAGGCTGTTGTGCAGCTGTGACCTGATCTGAACCCTGATTGGTTTTCTGGAAGAATGTCATTTTTAGCAACAAAGTCCCTCATTCTAGCACCCAAAATCATTTCGAAGACCTTTGATGGAGTACATAGGATGCTGATGGGTCGAAGGTCGCCCACATCTTCAGGGTTGCTCTTTTTTGGTATGGGAATTACTTGTGCAAGCTTCCAAATTTTGGGTATTACATTGAATTTTAGACAATAAATAAAAATATGCGTGAGATATGGTAAAATTATAGGACAGCTGTACAGCAGCATGCTGACACTTATACCGTCGGCACCAACGGCTGTTGATTTCACTGAAAGCAATTTTTGATATACTTCATTGTCATTCGTGTACGAAAACTCAAATGCTTCATGAGGGAGTTGCGTATCGGAGAAGAATCGAAGAGTGTACTGATCAGGTTCATTATTATCATCCGAGATGGATTGCATGAAGAAGTTATTGATTTGGTTTGCAGTTCCTAGGTGTTGAGGTAGTGAATTCTGTTTTTATTAACTATATTCAATTTTCTGAGTTCTTTCCACATGCGGTTTTTATTTAATGCAACTTGTTGCTCAAAGTATACTTGCTTTTCTTTGTTAATCGCGTGGTTAATTTTGTTCTTTAGTATATTATAGCCTAAAAAATCATTATGATTCGTTGTACGATGATACTTTCTTAGTGCCTTATCTCTTAGTTTCATCATATGTTTCAAATTATAGGTAAGCCAAGGTGACCTTTTTCTAGATATGCGGACTGTTCTGATAGGAGCATGAAAATTGAAAATATTTAACAGTAGTTCATTCAGATAATTCACTTCCATATCTATATCCTTAAGCAGATATATTGGACTCATGTCAACATTATTCAGGTGATTTGTAAAAAGCTCATAATTAAAATGTTTAAAGTCTCTATATGTGTAAAGAAAAGGTACAAAAGTATTCTTTGAAAGTGTAACCTCACATGAAACTAGGGCATGATCAGATATCATAGAACAGTCTAATGCATCGATAGCCGAGATGTTTAGTTCATCTGTGCAGATAATAACATCTAGCAACTTTGAGGACTTAGGTGTACATCTAGTGGGTTGTTCAACTATCTGCTTCAAATTCAAAACGTCTGTTGCATATAATTCCAAAATTGTTAATTGCCTCGTCATTGTCCAAATCAGGCATAATAGTGAATTATTTCAATGAAATAAAAATATTTAGCCTGCAAAAAGTATATTCTGAGTGCTCTGACTTTTTCATTTCAAGGGAATAATTCCGCCTTTTTCTATGAATGGGCAGTGGCAAAAATTGACTTCCAAAATTCAAATGTTGTGAATTCAAAATACGATTTTCCCAACACGCGAGCGGAAAAACGAGGATAAAATACACCCTCGAATTTTGTCTGGATGGAGAATATCCCATCGGACGAAAAGCCTAAATATGTATGGTATATACTTCAATTGGTGATAATAAAATTTTTAGATAACGTCAACTGTATTCAAAACATCTCGTACAGCAGCATCATTTTTCAAAATGTGCACAAAAGGCGCATTTGGATATCGCACACACATAATGGACACAAAAATAACTAAATTTGGACTATTTTCATTTTTTATGAATTTACGTTGTATTTTTTGTTTTTCAATTCAAAATTTTGAGAATGCTAATGCTATCTAGCTTATAAGCTATTTCGATGGTACATCTTTTGACCTTCACCTGACACTGAGACTGCCTACCTTAGTGTTTTTGGTAATTTTGGGATTGTTGTTATGAGACTGCTCGCTGTCTCCCTCTGTCATAACTCCACTATCACTATTCTTGTCAACTGCTAAGCTGCTGTCTGCTTCAGGATCCACAGCATCTGAGAGTCCCTTCAAGTAGGTCTCAAGTAGATAGTTACTACCATGTTTCTTCACCCTAGCGCGATGGGTTTTATCTTCTAGGTATCCAATTTGGTGCTCGCTGTGTCTGAGATTAAAAGAGTGTTAAGCAGATTGACTTGGTACTTCCTACACATTCACATAATGTCTATTTTCGTATTTCCCATAAATACAAATCAATAGTGCTCTTTCATAACGAGTATGATTGCTGATTGATATACATGTATGTAAAAAATGAACCTTGGCTAAAATAATAAATGTCTGGGCGGTCTAAAATTTTTGACTACTTCCCAAAATGAAATAAACTTGAACAAAGACATTTTTTACTAACTCAAAAGTTATCAGGAAGTAGTAATTCATACAACAAAACGAATTTTGGGATCTTTTTTCTTGGTTTTACCTTGTATGACTCCATAGTATACTTTTCTCCAAATCGTGACAAAATTGGGCCAGCTGTCAATAGTCAGACCGACAAAAAATTAAGCTATCCAAAACTCGAACGTGTTCGAGATCACATCAGTTTTCCTGTTTACGCTTTCTGATTGTGAGTTGATATTTATGTTTCATACTTCAGCACGTTCTATGGAAGATCAGATCTAATGTATAGCAGAATGATCCGGGTAAGATGGTAAAATATTATTTATGGAAAATATGTGAGAATAGAATCAAAAGATCTGAAAAAGGGTCGCTGCAAAGTGTCTAATTCATTTAAGAACGGTTTCAGTGAAATAGTATGAGTTTAAAGTTACTCGACACGAAACTATAACGCCGAGTCAGCTTTAGTGGCGTCGCTCGTGTTGCAACGAAATCAACATTTTCTATAAAAAGTCTCCTCTCAGGTTTCCGAATCAGATTATACCAATATTATCTATCTAAGCACGGCACTCTGCTATCTGCGATAGGTGCCATATGACAGCTTTTCGGTGACAGATAACACTACTATTCGTCATTGTCTGTCAGAGCGGTCCGTAGGACCTTTGCTCTTGGTTGAAGTCTTGTAAGTCAGTAGGTCTGTCAGGTCTGGTTGCCCAGATACCAAACAAAGTCAGGGGAAAGAAGGGAAGAAGAAAGGAAGGAAGGAAGGAGGGAGAGCAAAGAAAAAAGAAGTGCATCAATTTGAGGGGTGCCTTGGCATTGCTAGTTAGTATTCGGCAATTTTAAATTGATCCTAAAATAATTTTTTTTGGGATTGGTTGTTGAAGAAAAATTACAATTTTGGTTGGACCTAAAGTCGCACGATTTAATTTTGTTCACAGGGCAAGTCGCGGCCTTGTGTGCTTGCGAACTTGCTCGACTGTGTAGTCTACTGACTCGCGCAACAAAGCGTTGTTATGCGATTTTGCTTGACTGTAACGTAGCTGCGCTTGTTGTTTGATGTAGTCCCTTAGGTAAGGGATGTCAAGGTCTCTGTGAAGGGTCTCGTTGGAAACATACCATGGGGCGTTAGTGATTGTACGCAAGGTTCTGTTCTGCAAAACCAGCAGGCTACGCAAATGCGTTTTGGCGAGAAAACACCAAGCCGCACTTGCGTAAGTGATCGCTGGTCTAATAACCATCTTGTATAGTCGAACTTTGTTGATCAAACCTAATTTTGATGTTCTACATAGCATAGGGTAGAGTTGCCGAAACGACATTTGGAATTTAGGTTTTAACGCTTCAGTGTGCTTCTGCCAGGTTATCCCCTTGTCAAGAGTGACACCGAGATACTTAGCAGAGCTTTCCCATGGTACCCGAGTCTTTTAGTACAATTGATTGCCTGCGTTTTCGAAGAATTAATTTTGATCAGCCACCGATTCGCCCATTCCAATACCTCGTCCACTGCACTTTGCAGCCTGTCGTGAACTAGATCCCCACAGCAACACTGGGCCACCAGGGCAGTGTCATCAGCATAGAGATAGGTTTCACAGCTGCTGGGGCAAGGGACGTCATGAATAAAAAGTGAATAAAGGACTGGTCCAAGAACCGAACCCTGAGGGACACTGGCTTTGATGGGCCGTGTTGTCGACAGAATGTTATTAATTTTGATCCGAAATTTCCTACCCTCGAGAAAGGATTTCAAAAGTTTTAGGAGCCAGAAGGGGAAGCCCTTATGGATCAATTTGTAGAGAAGGCCCTTGTGCCACACCTTGTCAAATGCCTTTGTGACATCCAGTAGCAAGATGCTAGTACTTTCGTACTTCGTACGGGTGAACCCGCTGGTTACCCGTTCAACAAGCCTTATGGCCTGTAGCTCCGTACTATGCTCAGACAGAAAGCCAAATTGCACGTCAGGACTCACATTGTGGTCTGCCGAGAAATTTTCAAGGTGACGTAGAATCACCTTTTCAGCGAGCTTAGAAGGAGCTGACAGTAGACTAATGGGGCGGTAATCCTGAGGGAATATCGAACCCACCTTCTTTGGAATCATTATGACATCAGCGGTCTTCCACACCGTTGGGAAGTGCGGGGTCCTTAGCATGGCATTGATTATTGCCACGAAATAAGTTAAGGACTTCCGCGAAAGTAGCTTCAGCGCCTTATTAGTGATTCGATCCTCTCCAGGTGCTTTACGTACCTTGAGGTCTTTAATATGACCTTGGAGCTCTGCTGGCGTGCAAAACGGAGTCTCAGGAGATTCCGCTGATGTGCCGTGCAGCTCTTCAATTGAGGAATCTTATGAAGATTCCTCTGAGGAAAAATCACTAAGGGAGGCACTACTGCCACTGACGCCGTTGGCCCTAAAATATCTCCTGACGGATCTTACAATATGTTGCTCCTCGTCGAGGTCATTATCAAGGCCATAGTTGGGAGAGAACTGACTTTCCATTGCATCAGCGAAAACCTCGACCTTTTCCTCTGTCCTACAGACTATGCCCCTAGGACCGCGGATGTGCAGGAGTTGTCCTCGCTTTCCGTTTCTGAGCGACTTTGCAACTTTCCAGAGAGGAATGCTTGAGTCAAGCATCCCCGACAGAAAGTCGCTCCATTGCTCATTACGGAATTCATGAAGAGCATTTCTCACCTCATTAACAAGATTCGTTGCTCTGTGAATGTCATCTGGGTGACAAGACCTCTTCGCTTGCTTAATTGCAGTTCTTTTGTCAGAAATTTTCTGACGAATGTCTGCAGGGAGAAACGGTCTGCCGTGTCGTCGTACTAATAGTACAGCTGCACGCTGCAGAGCTTGCTGAACGGAACTTGTCCACTCCGCTTGAGCAGCGTTTATATCGTTCTCATCATCTATGATCGGGATATTGGGGAACTCTCTAAGGAGCGACTTGTATAGCTCCCAATCAACCCTTTTCCTTGGAAGAGTTTCCCCTTCCAAGGTTTGCTCATTATCCACTTCCAGTACGATAGGAAGATGATCGCTCGAAATGTCATACATGATTCGAGAAGTGACACTGAATCTACAGTTTCTAGATATCGCGAAGTCAATGACATCTGGTGCCTGAAGGTGATTAAATGGGTGGTGAGTCGGCTCCTCAGTGCTGTGTATGAGGTAGCCGTTTCGTATCACATAGTTGTAAAGTCGAATCCCACTAGTGGAATTTAATATAGAGTGCCATGCTCGATGTTTGCAGTTAAAGTCCCCTGCTACAATAAGCGGACCCGAGCAGTCAAACAGGACTTCCAGATCCGTCTCTTGCAGCCTGGCACCACATCTGACATAAACCGATGTGATTTTCAACGAGATACCTCCCGTCATATTCACTACCACCGAAGTTGCCTCGATGCTCTGCATCTCAGCGTTTGTGCTTTTGTAATAGTCGATACCACGTTTTACTAGCACTGCCAAACCGGTGACAGTTAACACATCGTAACTGTGAGTCCATTTTCTCGGGTAAATTTAGCTGTTAGCCTCAAGTAACATACGCGATATTTTACAAATCATGCTTTAACATTAAAATAAAATGTACCCTGACTATTGCAATACATGTAATTTTCCATGTTTTTCCGTCCGTTAGATGAAATTACGTATGTAGAATTGACGGTTTACTGACATTTGGGCCACTCCGGTGGCCTTTTTCAGAGTACAAATTGAATGTCAGTAAAAAGTGGAGAATTTTTATCAGCATCAAAATCACCAGGAGTGTTTAGTTTCAGATGTTACATTTAAGTAATTCATATACTAACTTTAGAACTCACCTAAGTTTTTTGAGCTGTTTGCGTATGACCTCCCCCTGCTTGAGCACCAACCTGAGCAGCTCTTCGTTGGTAGCTGTCGCGCTACTGTACTGACTGTGCAGTTGATTGAGCCTCTTGGGATGCACTGTTTTCCAGGCTGCGGCGCTTTCGCTGGACTCCGAGCGGCAACGTGATTTGCGCGCCAGGCTGGGAGGTCTGTGGTGGCGGTGTCCCGAGGTTACAAACATGCCTTCGCAATCAGCTTCTGTTGCGTGTCTGTTGTGATGTTGGTGGTGGTAACCGCGGCGTAATGACAGCTTTACCTAAGGGGCAAAAAAGCGTCAAGTAGACTGACTATAACATATTATTGGATGCAGTTAACATAAGCACGTGATCACTCAGCAATAGGTGGACAGGGAAGCGCTCATTGGTGAATCCGACATCGATCGCTGACTCCGCCGCAATCAGAAGCTGCTCAGAGTTGCAATTCGTTCTTGTGTCGTGCATATATTGGATATATGGATATATATTGGAATAATTCAATAATTTCGTTTACATTATACAGTGCTTTTCTTTAATGTCCCGCTCCCCTTTGATTTTTTGAACGGATCAATTCAAAAAATTAAAACTTGAGGTACTGAAATTGATGCGTATATCATATTTTAGAGTAAAATTCAAAGATGAAAATGTCAAGATGGCCGCTGGGTGCCATCTTGGAAAAAAATTATATGAAAACGGGGGTCTTGTGGCAAATCATATTGAGGCTCGTGACGAGTTCTTTATAACCCTAGAATATAAAGTCAATACCTTTACCTACTACAAAATGGTGGTACATTTATAATTACCTGTTTCGTACACCTTTTGCTTTAAATAGCCCCATAAAAAAAGTCTAAAGGTGTCAAACCTGACGAGGGAGCTGGCCATTCTACAGGACTTCGACGGCCAATCCAACGACCGAGGAAATTGTTATCTAAATAATTCATAACTTGTCTGTTAGCAGTTTGGTGGAGCACCATCTTGCTGGAATACAATATCAGCATCGAATTCATTAGGATTCGCTTCGACGATGTCGGTGATTAGAGGGTCAATAGTATTTTCCAGCATATCCAAATACAATTCCCCGGTTAAAGTTTGTTCGATGAACAGAGGCCCCACAATATGATTTCCCAATATCCCAGCCCAAACGTTAATTTTTTGTGGATATTGAGTATGAGTTTCCCGGAAGAGTGAGGATTGGTGTCACTCCAATAACGACAATTTTGTCTATGCACATTACCGTTGAGAAAAAATGTGCATTCATCACTAAAAAAAATATTTTGAATATAGGTAGGATGCCGTGCAATGGTTTCCGTCATAGTCTCGCAGAATTCTGTTCTTCGATCAGGGTCATCTTCATTTAGCTGATGTACCATTTGAATTTTGTATGGGTGGTACTTATTCTTTTTTAAAAGTCTCCCTTCAGTAGAAGGACAAACCTCACATACATTCGCGATGGAGGAAGTAGACTGTTGGGGAATTACTATGATCTCACCAATTATTTGAACTTGCTTTTCTTCCGGGATGGTCGGATGACCTGGGGGCTTTTTGTTGTTTACACTACCAGTAGCTGTAAATTTAGATACAAGTTCCCTTAAATATTTTCTACACATAGGACGATTCGGGAAACAATCATTAAAAATCCTTTAGGTCTCGTGAAAGTTACGCGTCGCACCATAAACAAAAATCGTTTCGATTTTTTCTTCCAATGCGCGAGAATAGACCATTTTAAAAATAGTTCAAACAGTAACTAGCTAAAGACGAGAACTAAATAAGCATATTTCAACTGTACAATGATGTTTGTTTTCGCACTGATATTCTTGTTACTGTCAACAAAAAATAACAAAACAAGTTTTTATCGCTATTGCTGTGGATACGGCAGGGAATTACAATTATTTGTAGAGATATGCATGTTAGTGGGTTTGTGTTCAAGTAATTATTAAATGTACCACCATTTTGTAGTAGGTAAAGGTATTGACTTTATATTCTAGGCTTATAAAGTACTCGTCAGGAGCTTCAAAATGATGTGCCACAAGACCCCCGTTTTCATATAATTTTTTTCCAAGATGACGCCCAACGGCCATCTTGACATTTTCGTCTGTCAATTTTACTCTAAAATATGGTATCCACGCATCAGTTTCATTACCTCAAGTTTTAATTTTTTGAATTGATCCATTCAAAAAATTAAAGGGGAGGGGGACATTAAAGAAAAGCACTGTACATATTGAATGAATAAATGAGGACGCATAAATGGGCGTTTATGCGTCCTATGCCCTACATTCCCTAAGCCTGAACCTCCGCCTTTCTAGCAAAGTTGAGTATAGCCCTGAGTCGCAGCTCTTTAACATTCTGTCCAAAGCGTTGTCTACCTGTAGTAGCTTCTTTAGCCCGCAGCGCTCACACATGGGATCCTCAGCCACCCTAGTCACATGCAGGTGACGCCTCATCGTGTTATGGCCAGAAAACAGTCCCACCAACAACCTGAGGTTGGTTCCATCCAAGGATAAGCAAAAACGTCCATCCTTAACACTGGGCCCTACGATGAGCTCCCGTGCCTAATGGAGATGTCTAGATATGTTTCTCCATTTCTGAAAGTGTTTTCTGCTCAATTTCCTACTGGCTCTTTGTGCGGGTACACCTAGTGCTGGCTCTGGACCAACAAGCTTCCACCGTATCATTACCCTTTATCTCAGCTTGCTTCGGTACCCACACTAATGATACCGGATGCCTCGCTGCTAGACTATCCATAGCCTCCCTGCATTGCAATACAAGGCTTATACACACTTAGTGCCTTCATTGCAGCCTGGCTGTTGGAGAAGATTGTTATTCCTCTCCTAGGCCATTCCTCCTTCAAAATGTGGGATACGCAAGCCAGAATCGCATAGATCTCCGCCCCAAGATTCCGGCGGCAGAGCCCCTCTTCAGTAACCGAGAACTAAAATTGCACGACCTGGTTTGGCAGGTCGTATTGCAGATTAGACTCAAAGTGTTTTTTCTGAAAAGTGTCTTTATAGGCATGAAACTTTGAAAAGTTTCAGGATCCTAGGTCGAAGGGATTGGTCTGGAGATGCGCTCAAACTTTAAAGTTTGGGGAAAAATATCAATTTAGCCATTTTGGCAACTTTTCTATTTTATAGCTACTCCTGTCCCTAAAAAACGTTTGTCCATGAGATACATAACTATTTCGAAGTAAAATTGTCCGGAGAATTCGTACAGTAGATACTTCAGTCAAAAATTACTTTTTTCGAATTTTTTTTCGATTTTATTGGAATGATAATTCGAATGACTTCTGAAACAAAAAATTAACAGAATCAATATTTTTCGTAAAGAAGAAGGAGCAGCATTGCAAGTGCTATAATTTGGTACCAAGTCACGCACAGAATCTCACCTATTTCCTTGAACACTTCTCTATCCATGAAGTTAAAAATCTAGAATAAATTTGGCTTTACCTTTATCATCCATTTTGAAGAAAAATTGACTGATCAGCTAGAGCAGAAACTAACTTCTGAACTTCTCAATAGGTGTGATTAATACTTGCCTCTGTTTGTGCAGTTCCCCAAGTGTTCCATATATCTAGTAATTTAGCTGTATCTTCTAATGGTTGCTCGACACCCCTCCATCTTTCTGTGATCACATATTTGTCGAGAGAGCTTACTGGTCTGCCCTGAAAAAAAAAACACTAGGCTTAAGTGTCAAAGCTCATCTAAATAAGTTTTTAACAGGGTATTTACTAGTTTTTATTTCAAGAAAACATCATGGTATTCTGCCCCCAAGACGTATGTATTGACTGCGTTTACTTATTTCTAAGAACAAGAAGTAACTTTACTTCGAAAGTTGAACGTAGTTTGTATCGTAGCAGAATAAGTTTTACACGTACTGTCCTTAGAATGTGACCTTACTTCTGCTGAGGAGCTTAAACATCCGCCAGACGTGAGATAAATAATTTTTTATAATTCGACATTGACAGCTTGTCACGAAAAGAATGGTCACTATCTGTTGGGTTCCCGATTAAAAATCAAATTCTAGTGGATGATTTCAAATGCAAGAAATTCAAATACTTTTTGAAACCCAGGCACAGGAGCGAAAAGACGAGGGTAAACTGCATGATCTTTAAAAAAACCGATGTGGACAATATATTTTATACCTAGTAAAAGGCATTTGGTTTAGGTGGAAAATATCCCCTTAATTAAATTACTTTACATCAAATACGCACAGAGACAAACACTTATGACGCCCGAAATACACATTGTGACGCCTCTGTTGGCGGCAATGTGAACCGTCGCTTTGGCGGCAGTAGAAATCGTCGCGATGTCGCGACCGCCATCTGTTGACAGTGAGAACAACTAGCAGCAACATCTGTCGGTAGCCACGGGAACTACTGAGCTTAGATATAGGGAACTAACCTCGTACGCTTGAACTTTCTAGAGCAGTACGGAGTTCGGAAGCAGGCGTCATAAGCACAAGAGGCAGTGTTATGAGCGACGTGAGTCACACAGACGTCAGTCAACGGACAACCTTAGACGCGGCGCGATCCACGACTTGTAAATAAATTAGTGATAAGTGTTATTATAAATTAGTGTGTGTTAATGACTTATAGGAAATGTCTAACGGATATTTGTTTTTGTTACAATATAAAATATTTTCTCTACGACCAGCAAAAAGTCATAAAGTGGATATACTATAAAAATAAATAAATTGACGGTACTAATATATCTCTGAGAACTAGTTCGGCTCGGGTATTATGTAAAAAACATAAAACGTCAAAAAACCTATAAAATGTCATCTCGTAGACTAGGTAGTTTTCAGGGTGCAAACAGTCATTTCACGTTTGCTCACTAGGATCGTTGTTAGCGTCCATCTATGGAGGAATGACTCATTGTTGGTTGCATATGTTTTGTGAAGCCGAGTACTCTGTAGTTTTCATCTCTGAGAAGAAAGTTGGTTGAATAGTAAGATCGCACCTGGATGATTATGTGTTTTGGTTTGCATGTGTATAAAGTCAGTGATATTTGCTGTGTGAGAAAATCATTAGTGAATATGCTGCCAATGAAGTATATCTTTTTGGTGAGCGCGATGGGTTATTTATATGTTGTCCTTTCTGAAGACAGGTTATTTTCAAAGTTATAAATTACGATTTTTTTGAGTTTTCAAAAACTTTGAGGAGGAGTACGGGACATCACCACCGCGCCTGTGTTGTGTGTAATTACTGTTGGCATGTAATTCGACAGTGTACAGTGAATACAATTATTTCTTACCCCTCTCATTTTTGAAATTCAGCAAATTTGCTTATGTAATTTCCAGAATGGATAAAAAAAGTGGATGCTAATTTAATTTCTAGCTTTGAATCTCAAGTAACTGTATTTGTGACAAGAATCCAATGGAATTGTCACCAACACATGCTATTAGCACACAAATCCTCACTAAGCACCTATGTATTGCCGTTTCCTTCTAGCTATAGTACACGTACACCTTAGACCTCCAGTAATGCTATCTCTGAAGTATATTTTACATCACATCAGAGCCAAACATTGATAACTGAAGCCTCATGACGTTTAGGCAACACGTACAACCACAAAGCGAGTTCACAACGTGTTCATCAGCTAGTGCTAAGTTGATATATTGTAGAAAAACCGACATAATGTCACAAAAAATCAATACAATGTCAAAAAACATTATGTCACTTTTCAAGATACGTAATACCCGTGCCGTTGTTGTAGCCGTTGCCTAGCAACAAATAGAGTTTTCATGAAAAATGAGCATAGGTCAATTTAAAGCGGATTCTAGTTATTTTTTGGTCTAGGACATGAAGAAGTCTGTGGGTCACACATCAGGACCTATACATAAAGTACACTGTCGTAGATAAAAAATTACCTATAGTCGTCTTTTCATGCACTGAAAGCTATATTCCGCTAAACGCAATCAAATGAAAAAAAAATTGTTGGACTTTTGTTGCTGCCTTTTAACTTGTTACACAATACAACAAATAAAAGTGTCAAAAGGTCTAAACTTTATACACGGGTAGTTTACCGTAGTTCCTTCGTATCGCAATGGAGCATCCTGCGAGTACAGTTGACAGGTTATAATAGCCACTCGATGTTTATTTACTATTTTATCACAAGGTAAATGGCGAATCTCGAATATATAGATGTGAAAATATGCGGGATGTTTTGAGAAAACACGTGAGAAACGCTAAAGCAATCTACAATTTAATTTTTTTATTAGTGTCTACGGAAGGATGATAATGAAATGATACACAAACGCTCTCATCACCATTAATTCTGTTTTTTTTCGTTTCACTAATGCACTGCTTCTTATGCGCATCAATTATAACAGAGATTCAGTAAGAGACCAAATCACTTAATCATGCAAAAGCAATTTTCTGCAGAGAAAATAAACCAGCAAGTGGTACTCAAATTATACCTGGATTCTACGCCTGCTGGCAAGATTTCCTGTATCGCGGTGGCATTACAGGGTAGTGACTGGTACTTCAACTTAGCTACTGTGTTTTTCCAACTAGTAGTTTGTTAGTCCTATCGACTAATTGATACCACTAGTGGTTAAGCCGAGCCAGGAGACTATATGGGTCGGAAGCAGCCACTCGATCAATATTACTATGAAGAACATAAAAAAAAACGTCGTCTAAAACTAACTGTTGGTGACGTTTATTGGAGGAAATATTTGCAAAAACAGGCGAAAGGTATCCTTTTATCATATATTCCCTTTATCCCAAACACATCGCAATCGGAATCGGTGAGTGTGGTAGTCCTTTATAGTTTTATATTGTACCTTTCAATACTCTGTAATGGAGGAACCGCTCCCAACAATGGAGATTTTAGAGAGAAAAGATAAAATAGTCACGAAAAAGTTCGATCTATTTCAAAAATATATCGATTCATGAGTAAATGACTTGGAAAATGCTGATGAACAGGAAAAAAGAACAAAATTGATAGATTTGTTTGACAGGATAAACAGTGTAGAGAAAAATTTGATAGATTTGGATGACATTCAAAGGAAAATAGAGCTACTTATAGAAGAAGAAGAACAAGCACGTCATAACGCCGCAAATCATTCAAGTCAATCATTGTATCAAAAGTGAACACGTTTGTAAAACATTCTAAAACAGTATTAATCAGTTATTAAAGAAGTTACAACACAAAACAAGATACAGTCCACTTCACTTACTACCCCAAACATTGGTAGCTTAACATGTTGAAATACTTAACAGATCAAATAAACTCTGCTTAAAAAAAATATACAATGATTTTAGCAAGGAAGGGTAAAAAAGAAGGTATATAATTACATACGGATACACAAAAACTCTGTTGGATAACTTATTATTGATGGGGAAAGTTGGAACAATCACTTTTCACGTGTATTAAAAAAATACTTCATATTGATAAAAGTGGTAAAATATGTATTGTAAAGTTGTAAAGTATTGTATAAGTCAGGGCTGTCCAACATACGGCCCACTCCTTTCTTGCGGCCCACAGATTTTATAATGCGGCCCTCCAAACTGCATTTTTGTTTGAAGTGGCCCTTGGGCCACATTAAGTTGGACAGCCCTGGTATAAGATATTCAAGTTGCTGCAAAAGATAGTATAAACTAGAAATTGATTGAGGAATTTTGACAAACCTTTTTGGATCTTTCCAAAGCTTTTGCATTTTGGTTACTATTTCAGATTTATGTTCGGTAAAAAATTGATGTGAAAATCTTAGGGTTTTTATATTTTGTTTCCCACTCCTACTAATCGCAAAAAATTTCGAAAATGAGATATTTTTTGGATGTTATATGACATGTACACCGCGAAAATCCATGTCGCTTGGATTTCGATGAAATTTTTACACAATGTTACTATTATGCCAACGACGCAAAAGCGGATCGCGTACCTATCTGCCGCGACTTCAGCTGGCGTTGTGCGCCGACCGTGATGACTGTTCTGTTATGGATATCACACGTGTTTCTAACGAGCAATAGCATATTGTTTTACATGCTCTGGTCGCACTATCTCGCCCACAGAACCACGTCTGCCCGGAAATAATGTCTATGGAATAATTGTATCTACCTGTTTGATTAACTTTTTTCTCAGAGGGTCTAGTTTATTTATTTATTTATTTATTTATTTATTTATTTATTTAATAATTTATTTATTTATTTATTTATTTCCAACAAGTGAAATCCAATTACAGGAAATGCTGAAAAAAATAACAATTAAAGAGACATGGTTCTTGGACTTAAATCTATAGTATCACACATTCTAAATAAGATTGGACGATCTGTGGCAGTTAATAATCGATGCACAACTGTCACTGTAAATATCACAGGATTCAGTAACACTGTTCATGACGCAACACATGAGATTCATTGACGATTTTGTCATAACATTTGTACGGCCAGTTTCACACTAGAATGCCATTTGTTGTCGACTCCCTAGCCTTGGAACGCGGAAACATATTTTTTCAAGTAAATTTTGGCAGTCAATTTTATTGTGAATGAGGCCATACAAAAACGACAAAGCAAATATGTTTCGTCTTCTTGACAGTGAATCCAAATTGAAAAACTCTAATAGGGCACTATGGTCACAACCCATTTCTGGATAAGAACCTGTGCATTTAAGGTGAAAATACTTTAAAGCTTTACGTTGAATGGCCTCAAGGATCACGACA